CTCTGAATTTGGACTACTAGCCTCCTAAATTGTGAGAGAATAAATTTCTCTTTGTTAAAGCCATCCACTTGTGATATTTCTGTAATGGCAGCACTAGAGAACTAAGACACCCTTTGGCAAGCTACCATGCCACCCTTCAGTGTATTCTCCTCTCTCTTCTGTTCCTGTCCAGTGATTCTCACTGAGCCATTTTTCCTGCTTCTACTTTCTACAAGTATGTGCTGAGCAGATAATCCTAGAAGCTGGACTATATGAAGAAGAACATGGCATCAAGATTGGAGGGAGAATCATTAACAACCTGTGATACGCTGATGACACAACTTTGCTTGCTGCAAGTGAGCATGACTTGAAGCACTTACTGATGAAGACTGAAGAATACAGCCTGCAGTATAGATTACATGTCAATATAAAGAAAACAAAAATCCTCACAACTGGACTTACACAGCATCACGATAAATGGAGAAAAGATTGAGGTTATCAAAGACTTCACATTGTTTTGTTCTACAATTGACGCTAATGGAAGCAGCAGTCAGGACATCAGATGATGTATAGCATTGAGCAAGTTGGCTACAAAAGACCTCTTTCAAGTGCTGAAGAGCAAAGATGTCTCCTTGAGGACCAGGGTGTGCCTGACACAAGCCATGATATTTTCAATCGCCTCATATGCATGTGAGAGCTGGACAATGGATAAGGAAGACCGAAGAAGAATTGATGCTTCTGAGTTGTGCTGGTGAAGAATGCTGAAACTACCATGGACTGCTAAAAGATCTAACAAATCTGTCCTGGAGGAAGTGCAGCTAGAATGCTCCTTAGAAGCAAGAGTGGCCACACTACGTCTCACCTACTTTGGTCATGTTGTCAGAAGGGGCCATTCCCTGGAGAAGGATGTCATGCTTGGAAAGGTGGAGGGTTGATGAAAGAGGGGAAGGCCCTCAGTGAGATGGACTGACACAATGCCTGTAGTGATGGGCTCGAGTACAGCAGGGATCGCAGAGCTGGCACGGACCAGGTGGTGTTTCGCTCTGCTGTGCATGGGGTCGCTATGAGTTGAAGACGACTCGAGGACACCTAACGACAACAGCAACAATTTTCTACAAACCTTTTTTCCTGATAAAAGTTTGTGTTAATTGAATAAATGTGAGGAGTGTGTTTTGTGTTGCAGTGCAGGGCATTTCATGACATAAAGTGTCTAAGATTAACCTTTGAAATCCTTAATCTGTGCAGTTTTAGAAAAGATGTCACAACCATGCTGATATCCAATCTTATTTTCTAGGGTGGTGGTTACTTGTAAAGCTTGTAAGAGTTTCATTATATTTATAATTCATCCTTTCACCTTTACAGAATGGTCTTTTGACAATAATTGCACAACTCTCTTGGGTTTCTGTTTCCTGGCTTGACAGCCAAATCTATAGAATTTTAAATGATTGATGCTTTCTAATTTTTCACCACTTGAGGTTTGTATAATCTGAGGTTTGAAGATATTTGGCAATAATAATACCTTGCATTATACACCACTGAAACCGGCTCTAAGGTCACACATGACCACCAAACCCACTGGTGTCTTCCTAGTTTCTGCCAGCTGACTGTTGGAAGTGACTCAAGACCCAGAGGAAACCAGTTTAAATGAAAAATCTAGGGAAGGAGGATTACAGGCATGGTTGCTTGGTTTCAGGAACTCAAACAATGTTGTGAGAATTCAGTCTCTTTCCATCTCTCCTTCACGTTCTCTGTGTTGGCTCAGTTCACAGGAAGTCCATTTCCTGTGTTCCCTAGATGGCTTCTGGAAGCCTTTTGTTTGTATCTCCCTGAGTTCAAGACCAGGAGCCCTGGAGCAGTGGTTAAGAGCTTGGGCTGCCAACCTAAAGGTGGGCAATTTGAACTCACCAGCTGCTCTGCAGGAAAAAGATGTGGCAGCCTGCTTCTGTAAAGATTACAGCTCTAGAAACCTTATGGGACAGTTCTACACTGTATAATAGAGTCACTAGGAATCAACTTGACAGCAGTGGGTTTTTAGGGGGTATTCAAGACCAGTAGAAAAGAATAAATCTCTGTTCTGTTCAACCTAACAAAAGTTTGGGATTGGTTCTCATTGGGACATGTCTTGTTTTCTTGGTACGGCCAGAATGCTCCTTAGAAGCTGAGATGGTGAGACTTCATTTCAAATACCTTGGACATGTTGTCAGGAGGGACCTGTCCCTGGAGAAGGAATCCTGCTAGGTAAAGTAGAGTGTCAGCGAAAAAGAGGAAGACCTTCCATGAGATGGATTGACAAGGTGGCTGCAACAATGGTCTCAGACATACTAACAATTGGAACGATGGTGCAGGACCAGGCAGTGTTTTCTTCTGTTTTATATAGGGTCACTATCCTCGGAAGGAATGGGCAATCCTACTTCCGTAGCGCTACTGCCTCGGAAACCCAAGGAGGGGTCGCTATGAGTCGGGGCCGACTCGACGGCACATAACAACAACAACAACAACATATGAGGAGGAATGGGAGCTCTGGTAGCATAGTGCCTAAGGCACTTGACTGCTAACCAGAAGGCTAGCGGTTCAAACCCACCAGCCACTCCTCGGAAGGAAGAAGGGGCAATCTACTTCCGTAGTGATACTGCCTCGGAAACCCAAGGAGCGGTCACTACGAGTCGGATCCGACTCGACGGTACATAACAACAACAACAAATGAGGAGGAACCAACTTGACATTAAAAACAGTTTTCTGGGAACACATGCCCATCACTGAGCCCAACATATGGCTGGGAGGATGCCCTACCATGACTGGCAGAGCCAAGGTGAGCAGCTTAGTCCCAGAGCTGCAGGTCCCATTGGTTCCAAGGCAAGTGCCCTGAGAATGTGGGTGGGCATTCCCCTCCAAAGAAATAGACCAGGATAAGGACGAGGATATATGCTGGAGCACAGTTGTTCACCTCTCTCTCCACCCCTCTGCACCATTTAATCCTGTGGCCCTTCCTGAAATGCTGCATTCCTCCTTCTATCACAGTGCTCCTTTCTGCTTCTCTGTCTTTGCTTCTTCTTCCTACCTGTAAGTAAAGTGTAGCCATGGTTCAGTCTGACTCTAACTCTCCTAGCTTAACCAAGGGGATCCTACATACCTGAACTTGCCATCTCCTCCTCTGGGCCCCTCCAACTCTCCAGCAGGCCATTTCCTCTGCCCACCCCTTGTGTCTACACACTCCTATCTTCTGCCTCCTGCTTCAAATGCATCTTTGTGAATATTCACATCTAGCTTTCTGCAAGCGAGAAATACACATTCTCCCTTCCCTCCAGACTCTTCACCCTCTCTCAAAGATAGGCTGTGTGATTGCCACTGGCCCTTTGCTTCCTGAAGGGGAACTTCTGTTTGTCTTCATCATTTAGCCCTATCCAGTCTTAACCAGAATCAGTCCTTACAAAGCTGGTATCTGCTAAATGAATCTGTATAGCACCTCCCATGTATTCACATGTATTCCCACTCACCATCAGATTTGCTCCTCAAGGCCAATCTGGAGGGAAGATCAGGACAAGTATCATCTCTCAGCTTTCTCTATTAGAAAACAGAGGAACCAACAGGGTAAAAGATTTAACCGAGGACTCTAAGCTAGTTTTGGGGGAAAGTTGCAACTAAAAACTTAGATCTTCACAATGAAGTAATTTTTCTTTTCTTTCTTTTTCTTTTTTTTTTTTTTTTTTTTTTTTTTGATTTGGGTGAAGATTTACAGAGCAAATTCACTTTCCATACAGCAGTTCACATATACTTTGTCTCATGTCATTGACCACAGTTTACCACAATGCAACAGCTCCCCTCCCACATCCTCCCCATAGTTACCTCTTCCCAGTGTCCATCCCTCCATACTCTCCTGCGCCCTGAGCTGTCTCCCTGTGCATAAGCAGCCCTTCCTTCTCCCATGATTGTTCTCTCTAGGGCGTGTGTCTAGTTGAGGTAAATGTTTAACTCACTTGCCTATACTTTGTTTGGCTGGAAACCACAGGTGTGGGTTCAATTCCAGACCTGAAGGGCAGCTCGGGGCCATAGTCTCAGTGGTTCCACCAGGCTCTATTGGACCAGCAAACCTGGTCCCCACCTTTTTTTTTTTTTTTTTTTTGCCAATGAGTAATTTTTCCACGAGAAAAAGCTTACTGGTATGTGTTGCATCATTGAAAGCTGGAGAATAATTGATTCAAAACAAAACAACCCACAAACCCATTGCCATCAAGTCGATTGTGTCTTGTAGTGACTCCATAGGACAGAGTGGAACTGCCCCCATAGAGTTTCCAAGGCTGTAAATCTTCATGGAAGCAGACACATCTTTCTTTGCCAGGTGGGTTCCAACAGTGGACTGTTGTTTTATCAGCCAAGCGCTTAACAACGAAGTCAGTTTACTTCAAACAGATTTTTGTCTGAGGTTTCGTACACACTCTGCCGGTTGGTGAAAGTGTCTAAAGATTTGGTCCTCATATAAGAATAAATACTTAAGAGGAAGTCCGGACCAAGCGGCTCTGTTCTTGTTCAGGTCGTACCGGCATTTTTGTTGTGGCTGCTCCTGGCGGTGGCGGTCTCTCTCCTCCCCTGCCCTGCCCTCCTCTCTCCTCCCTGACTTAGTACACACTCTGCACCAAGCGAAGCGATAAAGTGGATTTATTTCCCCCGAGTGCCCTTTCTCCTGATGGAAAACACATGTCCCTCACATTTAAAACTCCCAGATTCCCTTCCACTGACTTACAGTCCTGGATGGCGAACGACTACCCTGCCAGCGCCAGGACCTTTGGGGTCTGAGTGTGAAGGCCGGACTGTGCAGATCTCCTGTTTTGCCCGGGCTTTCGGCTCCAGCCCAGCCCAGCCGTGGGTGGAGCCGCACAAGGATCCCGTTCCTCAACCCGGCCCAGGCCGCGGGGCTTGGGAAGCGCCCGACGTTTGCAGCGCTGTCTGGGACTGGGGACTGTCGGCCGGGCCCTTGGGAGACCGTGACCTCCGCTCAAGCAGGCCAGCCCCGCGCGCCCCTTGCCATGGCTGCACCGCCGCCGCTCCTGATCCGCGGGGGTCGCGTGGTCAACGAAGACTTCTCGCAGGTGGCCGACGTGCTGGTGGAGCACGGCGTGGTGCAGGCGCTCGGCCCCGACCTGCTGCCTCCCGGGGGCGCGCCTGCGGGACTGCGGGTCCTCGACGCCCGGGGCAAACTCGTCCTGCCCGGCGGCATCGACACGCACACGCACATGCAGTTCCCCTTCATGGGCTCGCGCTCTGTGGACGACTTCTACCAGGGCACCAAGGTACGCGCGCGACGCGCCCTGCTCCCGCGGGTGCCCGGGGCCCTAGGCTTGCGCAGCGGGAAGGGACTAGGGGTGCAAGCGAAGGCGGTGGGGCCACAGCTTGAAGTCAAACCGGAACGAGATAAGGTGAAAAAGCTAAGTGAGGTTTCATTTCTTGCAGCCAGAACGGGGGGTTTTACGTTTAAGCGAAGAATGAGGAAATTATACAAATTCAATGAAATTCTGAGAAGTTGGCTGCATACGCATTACGGGCCTAGGTCAGATCTTGGCGAGGAAGTTGCTGACCGACTGACTCCTCGCTTGTCTTAGAGGTCCTTCTGGAAACTGAAGACGTAGTTTTCATCGCTTCCCTTATTTTTAGTTCCTTAACAGGAGCTTTTTGGCTCCTGGAGCTGAACTTATTAGGGGACGGGGTGAAAGGGTGTATGAGCACAGCTCATCTTTGCGCATGCTTCAGGGTGAGTATGTAAACTGAGAAAAAAAAAAAAACAAAAACACTTCAGGAAGTGTTAGCCTCCAAACAACAGCTGTTACAAAGATTAGCCAACCAGATACACGCCCTTTTCTGATGCTGATCTTCGGGTTTGCTATTAACCCAGCTAAGTGTGTTCTTCCCTCCCTGCCTTGTCCCCTGCCTGTCGCTAGGGGGTGGGGAGGTGTGGCGCAGAAGTGAGGCGCAGCGGATTCTTCCTGCCGAGGCCTCTCCTTCCGGGGGCCCTGCTGACATCTGTCCAGTCTTGGCTAAGCTAGAGGCGCTCCACTCTTGAATGGAGGGTTTGAGGAGTTTAAGGCACCTGTGCCTCTCCAGCCACTCCTCGGAAGGAAGATGGGGCAATCTACTTCCGTAGTGATACTGCCTCGGAAACCCAAGGAGGGGTCGCTATGAGTCGGGTCTGACGCGAGGGTACATAACAAGTCTTTCCTCTCATCGCTCTTTGTCCTTTGAACCTTAAGGACCTCATTCTCGCTGGTGTTGTGAAACCAGGCAATTTCCCAAGCCTTTCACGAGATCTATGCAATCTTTTCCTTAATTCTGCATCACCCCTCATTTCTCCCCCTCTTCCAGCTTCAGCCACAATCAGATGAAAAAATCCATCCACCTCAAGTCTCTGAAATAGGGCCTGTGTGGTATGGAAAGCCCAACCCGCCCATAATCTTTGACCCCAATCCAAATCCTGACTGGGTTTTAGGAGAGAACATATTCCAGACATGAAGGCTCTCACATTCCCAACCAGGTGGCCTCTCCACGCATCTCTTCTACATCTTGCCTCAAGGACATCAGATATGAACCGTGATGGTGTAGGAGGGTGGCCTGACCACTAAAAACCCAAACCAAACCCATTACTCTAATCGGATTTTAAGGCTGTAATCTCTAAGGAAGCAGACTTTATCTTTTCTCCCACAGAGATCTCTGACCTTTTGGTTAGCAGCTGAGTGCTTTAACTATACTGTACCACAGAGCTGCTTTGGGTTTTCCTAGGTACCAAGAAAGGAGCTCTGGTGCCATAGTGCCTAAGGCATTTGACTGCTGACCAGAAGGTTGGCGGTTCAAACCCAACAGCCACTCAGTGGAAGGAAGACTGGGCAATCACTTCTGTAAAGATTTACAGCCTCAGAAACCCAAAGGGAGTCACTATGAGTCACAGTCGACTCGATGGCAATGAGTTTGGTTTTTGGGGTTAGGTAGCAAAAACAAAACAACCAAACCAATTGCTGTGGAGTCCATTCCAACTCATAGTGACCCTATAAGGCAGAGTAGAACTGCCCCTATAGGGTTTCCCAGGTTGCAAATCTTTACAGAAGCAGGCTGCCACATCTTTCTCTGGGGGGTCTCTGGGGGGTGACTGACTGACCTTTTAATTAGCAGCTGAGCAGTTAACCACTGCCAACAGGGCCCCTTTCTCTAGGCACAAAGGCCTAGAAATTGGGGTCAATGAGAGAAACTTAATGTTTCCCCAAAGCTCCTAAAGACAGTTTGAGGAGATAGGAAAGTCACAAAATTAAAACTCTACTCTCAACCAAAGCCAAACCCATGCTCCTTGTGTTTTGCATTGTGGGGCTGCATTGAGAGAGAAAGGTGAAGGAGAGTTGATGTTCTTAAAGTCAAGGATCTGGGCTTGAGGTTTTCTCAAGGGTCAGGCCTTGATGTATGAAACAGGTGGGTTTAGTCCAAGTATAGTCTCTGCAGCCTTTTACAGCAGTGTAATAGGGGAAAAGAGACCCCAGATTCAAACAGGTTCAATAGAGACACCCTTATTAAGCCTTGGACAGGACAAAGAGAAAACAGGAAATCATCCAGGATGAGGGAAACCATCAGCATGTACACAATGCAGAAATTCGCTGGAGTCCACCAAGTCATGGCCACGTGGCTATTATATATGATTGAAAAAAGAGAGACTTGTCACAAAATTATGATCAGTGGCAGACTGAGGCATCACTGTTGCAGGTGGGACTACAGAAGTGGAGAAAAGATGGGTTCCAGGATTGGTTCTGGGCTTTGACTACCTGGCTAGATGGTGGTCGGGATGTGACTTGTGACCATGCAGCCTGAATCTTAGCCACAAGGTGGATAAAACAATACCAAGAACCCAACCTTAATTTAAATTAGAAAAGGACACCCTCAGGCAAGTTCCCTATTCTTTGTGTGAGCATAGTCTACGTTCAACCACATCCTTCCTGAAGGCAAACTGCCCCTCCCTGGGTTTGTCCTGGAGCTTGTCTGTGCATGGCCACAACGCTGGTTTATGGTCAAAAAGAACCCAAATGACTTCTGAAACTCATGTCAAACCTCAAAATGGAGTTAGGGCTCCCACTGCACACCACAGCCTTCCACAACCCCAAGTGCTTTAGAATTTACACTCTAATACGACAATAGTTACTTTAGCTACTATCCTAGTTTCTGATGATTTACTCTTCTTATACTCCTCTTCACCCCATGTTCCCCATCCTTTATGACTGACTTGAATGTTTACAAGAAAAAAGAAAGCAAGGAGATTGGACCTGATGAGAAAGGTCTGGACAAGGCCCCTCACGTCACTATTTGGAAAGCTGCTTCCTAGTTACTAATTACCACCCCTGATCATCAAGTCAATGATCAAAGTCTTGTAGGACAGGCTAATATCTGTTTGAAATTTGGCAAACTTTTGTTTTGAATATTCGTTTTTCCCTTTGTAAAAAATGAAATATACTAAATGTTGACTAATGTTGTAAACATTAACTTAAATTTTTGATATCATGATTAGTATAGAAAATTGGATAAAATAATATAAAAGTGAAAGAAGAAGAATATTATCCATAACCTCTCACTCAATGAAAAACAATGATTGGTCTATTGTACTTAGGTTTTTAATATATATTATTGTACATAGTTGAGATCATATTGTGTATATATCTATGAATGTGTGTGTCTATGGGAGCTCTGGTGGCATAGGACATAAGGCATTTGACTGCTAACCAGAAGACTGGTGGTTCAAACCCACCACCTAACCACTCCTTGGAAGGAAGGTTGGGCAATCTACTTCTGTAGTGATACTGCCTCAGAAACCCAAGGAGGGGTCGCGATAAGTCAGATCTGACTCAATGGCAGTGAGGTTTTTTTTTTTTTTTTTTTTGTGTGTGTGTGTGTGTGTGTCTATACCTATAATATAAATATTGTACCTGCTATTTTCAGGTATAGTATAGACACTTGCCATCTCAGACTCATCATTAACAAGTGCTGTGAAGATGGCAGGGCATTCCACTGACACCCCATTTGCAAGGTGAGGACCTGTGATTTCTAACCATCAGTTACCTGGCACACTAGCATCATTTTCCCTCTAACACCTGAGCAGAAGTTTTCGAGTCTCTGTCACTGTCTCTTTCTCTCTCTCTTGTCAGGGTCACAGATGAAGTTTCTAGGACAGGCAGTTGGAATGCTGTGGGGTGAGACATGCCCCTGGGCCCTGGGAGGTGGTTCTTACTCTTGCTATCTCTTCCTTGGGCATTCTGGAACTTCAAGTGTGAATAGCTTGACATTTCCATACTGAGAAGCCGGTCCTTGTGGCATTCAGTAGTCTGTTGTCAACATCTGAAAGGCTTTATCTAACCTCTGATTCTCTAGCTGTTACTGTGCTTAAAAGCTGTCAAAACATTCAACAAAAATAGCCTGTTCTTCATGATGTTAGGATTCAAAGCAGACAATGTTATGGTCACAGATGTTATTATTAGGTGCCATCAAGTGGGTTCCAACTCATAGACTCTATGTACAAAGTAATGGAACACTGTCCAGTCCTGCACTATTGTTCTGGTTCCCTAGTGCCACTCTGACAAGAATATACCACAAATGGGATGGCTTAAACAAACAGGCGTTTATTCTTACAATTTGGAGGCTTTAAGTCCAAGTTCAAAGTGCCAGGCTCTAGGGGCTGGGTGAAAGCCCCTCAACCTTGGGGTCCCGCTCTGCCTCCTGCTCATGGCCCACTGGAGCTAGAGGTGTTTCTTCACTCAGACAGCTTGCTGGCTGCTGAGGCTGAGAAGTCCCAAGGTGGACAAGTAAAAAGGCACAGTCCCAATGTTACCAAACCACATGGCAGGCCATTAACTTAAGTCCATTGTAAGTCCCAAGGTCGGCAGAGCATAGCAGGCTGCTGAGCAACGACATGGCTACATGCAGGGTACAAGCATGCCATAGACTAGAGACCATTCCCAAAGCTTCTCCTTAAATTCAGGAAGCAGACCACATCCCAAAGGCAGCTACTTAGCTGCTTGTGGCAAATCCCACCATGGAGTTGATTGGCAGTCTCATCATGGGGAATAATTACTACCAGCTGCCCAGCCACTCAACCAGGCCCAGCCAAGTTGACACACAAACATAACCACCACAACTATGTTTGAGCCCATTGTTGCAGCCACTGTGTCAGTCCATCTCATTGAGGGTCTTCCTCTTTTTCACTGACCCTCTACTTTACCAGCACGATGTCCTTCTCCAGGGACTGGACCCTCCTGATAACATGTTCAAAGTA